GCCGCGGGGGTGGGGGCGTGGCCCGGCAAGAGCAGAGGTAACCAAGCGGCGAGTTTTTATGTCTTTATTATTATGATCATCATCATCATCATTATTAATAATAATATTAATATTATTACGGAAGTATTTCACGTCCAGAGCTAAGACAAGACTACAAACACAACACATAGAAAATTAATAAAATAGAACTTTGTTTTCTTCTCAGGCTCCTCTTCTTGCTTCTAGGTAGTATGTGCTCCTTCCAGTGGCTTCGGGGAGGGACTGGGCCAGAGGTCTGGGGTCAGGGAGTCTTCGAGGCCCCCGCTGAGGGGGCTGCGAAGCTACCATCGAACCGTGCACGGGGGAGGGACGGGGGCGAAATGAGATGCGACACGGACAAGAGTGTTTTTGCTCTGCTTCCAGGAAACCTCGAGTGAGTCCGGTCCTCAGTTCTCACGGGGCGGGGGAGGGAGCCTGGTCCGAGGCGGGGGTCCCCAGGCGCCCCCCGCCCGCAGAGCCTTCTCCAGAGCTCCGAGGCCCTCGGCTGCCCACGGGCCTCTCCCTTCGCGCCCCCGGCCTTCCCGGCGCCTTCACTCCGCCGGCTTCTCCTCCTCCTCCTCCGCGCTGAGCTGAGACGCGCCGAGCAGTTTGCTCTCCTTTTTCCACTTCATGCGCCGGTTCTGGAACCAGATCTTGATCTGGCGCTCGGTCAGGCACAGGGCGTGCGCGATCTCGATGCGCCTTCGCCGCGTCAGGTAGCGGTTGTAGTGGAACTCCTTCTCCAGCTCCAGGGTCTGGTAGCGCGTGTAGGTCTGGCGGCCGCGCCGGCCGCTGGGCCCAAAGGAGGAACCTGTTACGTAGAGAGGAGATGCTGAGGCCTGGGGTCACCGGGGCCAGGGCTCCCTTTCCCACTGGGCCCTCACACAGGGGCTCCAGCCCGTCCCGGGGCGCCCTTCCCTCCCCGGGTCCCTGCAGCGCCCCCTCCAGATGCCCTCCGGGCCTCCCGGGCCTGCGCCCCCCTGGTCTTTCCGTGGGGGGAGGGGAGGAGCGGAGCAAAGCTCCCACCTGAGCCGCGGGGGAGGGGCTGCAGAAGGCGCCCAGGTGTGCCTGCTCCCAGCTGCATCTGCTCTTGGCAGGCATCTAGCCCCCACCCCCACCCCCACCCCCGGTGATAGATTCCAGCCCCTAATCCGCAATGACGTGGATCGATCCACAGTGGGCATTAACGGCTCCTCACTCTCTTGTCCCGCTAATGGACATCAATTTTCCCTTTCCGGGTGCCTCATCCTTCGCCAGCCCCCCACCCCCAGGGAAACGGTGCGGGACAGACTCGCTCTCCCCTCTAGCGTCACACCGCCCCCTTCCCGTGACGCACGCGGGTTTTAGTGCCACCGTCTTGGGGTGGGGG